ACCTCCTCCCCCCGAGGGCCGGCCGCCGCCGCCGCCGCTCCCCCTGCCCGGCCCTGCCTGCCGCCGGGGCGCGGGGCCGCGCATCTGGGAGGGCCGGCCCGGCCGCGGGGGTGCCGACGCGGCGGGCTCGGGGCGGCCCGGCTCCTTCCCCGCCCCTCCGGCGGCGGGAGGCAGGGAGGGAAGGCGCCGGGGGGCGGCTGCGGGGGGCCGAGCGCGGCGCTGCGGGCGGACGGGGCGGCGGGGGCTGCGGGCGGTCGGGGGGAGCGCAGCCAGCCTCGGGGCTCAGAGCCCCTTGGGACGAGAGGAAACGGCCTCGAGTTGTGCCAGGGGAGATCCAAGTTGAGTTTTAGGGGAAATTTCTACTCTGAGGGAGGGTAATGCATTGGCACAGGCTGCCCAGGGAGGTGGTGGAATCGCTGACCTTGGCGGTGGTCAGGAAATGCGGAGATGTGGCGCTGGGGTCATGCTTTAGTGGGCTTGGCGGCAGTGGGTCGATGGGTCGGCTTGGTCTTAAAATAACCTTAGTTATTCTATGAGAGCCATCTGCAATAGTGAGATCCTGTTAGTGCTGCGATCCCCAGTGGTGTTCCTTATTACAAATGCTAAGTGCCCCAGTGTAGAACCACGGACAGCAGAACCGCAGTGCTATACACAGTGAATACACGGGTAGTTGACTTCGAGTTCTGGGGAAGCAGCTTCACATTTGGCAAATAAAACATTGTGAACTTTCACAATGGGTCATTGTGGTAAGAAAAAATAATAAAATAAAACAAAGGCACGTTATTAGCTGCTTAGGTAAAGAGTGTGAGAAATACAGCCTCTTGGTGTTTTCTTTCAGCAGCACTTCAGATTGTTCTAGGAACTGCACTGTACTGGCAGTGTCTTTCTCCCATCCACGTGAAGCAGATGGTGCGTTGTCCCATGTACACTGCCCTGAGGGGCAATGCAGCACACAGCTGTGGGGCAGCTCCAGCTGGGGCTTTGTGGCCTCTGAGCAGTTCCCTCCTGTTGCAGCAGCTGTGCCATCCACACTCAGGCTGTTTAATTTCCCCGTGGGTCAGAAGTGATGGCTGCAAAGGTGGAATGAAGTTTGAGGTCGATAAAAAGCTTGTGAACTCTCAGGTCTTCCTGTAAGAAGTTTGATGCTCTTATCGATCATTTCTTTCTCTCTTTTAATTAGCATTTCTTTTTATTCTAGGCAGGCACTTTAGGTGTGTCTCAGGTGATTGAAGGGTTTACTGGAAATTTATCAGTAGGTTTCATTGTGGCTCAGCAATTCCTGTGCTTTTTGCCAAAATCTTTGGAACTTGGATGTAATTAACTCATCTCTCCACTATTAATTTTATGATTAGTAATCCATCAGATTATGCGACTCCTTGAAAGACTCCTTCTGTACCACTTCAGTAACAGGAAGCCGCGTGACTTCCTTGTGGGCCCTTGGTCATCTGCTTGGGCAGACAGGTTCTCCCTGACAGCTCAGCCAGGCACATTGGCTGCCTGCTGGTGTGTTGGATTCCCCTGTGAAGAGTCAATTGCATACGTAACATTGTGCTTAAGGATATTAAAATACTTTCTCTGCCTTAAATTTCAAAATTTCCAATGTTTAGCACTTCTGCAGATTTTGGTGATGGCATCTTTCCCAAATGGTGCCTTACATTTAGTCAGTGTCCACACTAACCTTGATTTAGCAGGGTGTGAGCTGCGTGTTTGGCTGCAAAATCTATGCATAGACAGTGAAAAGAGCTGACAAACTGAGAATATACAGGTAGTTGACTTTGAGTTCTGGGGAAGCAGCTTCACATTTGGCAAATAAAAGTCCTGCCTGGGCCTGGCTTTAGGCTCTTTTCTGTGACAGTCATGTCCTGTGTCCCCAGGAGGAGCTGTTTGTTTCTGGGCCACTCAGCACTGTGTAATATACGATCCAGCAGAGACCACAGAAGCCTCACTGTAGCAAACAAACTTCTGGGTATTTAGAAGCGTTCATCCTGGATTTATGCAACTGTTGCAGGTTTTGCTCACTTTACTGATTTCCAAATCTGCAGTAAATGTGTATTGAGAAGTGACAGTATTTTGCTTTTCAGTCCACGTGTTCCATCTTTGGGGGTTCCTTTTCTTCTGGTTCAGTCATGCACCTGAGCCTCACCAGTTGTGCTGAGCTCAGGCCAGGGCCACGCTTGCACAGTGTGAGTAGTACCCAGCAGCAGTGTCTGTCTGCAGCAGTGGTTCACAGCACTGTGTCTGTTCTGAATGGTGTCTCTTCTTGAGGAAGTTTTCTCCCAGGCTTTTGAAATCAGGAGCCTGCAAGGCTCGGGTACATTTCTGCAAGGTCTGGGATGGCTCTCATTGTAGATGGAAGTTTAAAAAGCTGTGGTTGTTATCCCATGTACTAGTAAAGGGCAGGTGCTGTGAGAGGCCTCGCTGAAGACAGATCATTTTATTCTTGGGTGATTTTACATTTCCTTTAATCCGGGAATACTATTGCAGACCTGCACAGTTAGCAGAGGCTGCAAAGTGCCAGAGTGCAGCCCTGCCTCCTGTTGCCTGTGCCTGCAGCTGGGGCGGTAGCAGCCCGGTGTGGGGCTGATGTCTGTCAGCAGCAGCTGTGGTGCCACCCACACCAGCACTGATACAGCCTGGTTTTGTATGCTAAAATAAGTTTCACATTTGATTTTATATGAGGTCTCTTTTTGACTAAAAACTTGTATGTGTGGGTAATGAGGCTTTAGGGGACACTATTCCTCACATCTTTTTTTTTTTTTTTTTTTAATGGAAAGGTGGTAATGAAGTTGATGTCTGTTGGATTACACAATTATCGTGCGATAAAATGCCTCGAGATGGAGTTTGCACCTCCTGCTCTCACAGCTTGCAGTGCTCTGAAATGTAATGACCATAGCAAGGAGCTTCTGATGGAAAGCTTTTCAAATTACTCTGTTTAAATGAACGAATAAACATCATCATTCTGCTTCTAAGAATATTTAAACTATAAAAAAATGCAGTCATTTTGGCATGGAGGATATGAATGCTGAATTTTTATTTTCAAATTAATTTTCTGAAATGCAGCAACGTTTTGTTTGAAATTGTATTTTCAGAGATTTTTACATAATTTTCCTTTAAAAAAGAAAGTTGAGGTACGAAGTTGATATGTGTGGCATAAATCTATGCAGCCTCTGGTTTTTGCTGTTATTGCTCATCCTGTGCCATGGAAGGGCCTTTCCCACTGATGTCAGGGGACTGTGCAGCAGTGAAGCTGAAAGGGGCTTCTGGAAGGACGTGGCTCATCCTCTGCTGACAGTCGCCCTGTGAAAGTAGGTGTGCAGAGCCTGGGTCCAACAGGGAGCCTCTCATCCTCTGGGCCCTTTCCCAGTGATAACTGTGCTGGTAGAGAGGTTTTCCCTATGTCTTGTTAGAACTGTCTGTTCGTGCTGATACACAGCGAGCTGGGTTCAGGCAGTGAAGATCCTTTGAAATGTCAGTATAATGGCTGTAAGTAATATGTATGGTATATGATGACGTTGCACTACATGTTGGTTGATATAAACACCGTGTGACATTTTATGGGCTTGAAATAGGTCACCTATCCCTGAAGTGACGTGGGAGAGGAACAGGTTTGCTGATCTCAGGTTCAAGGTAACTCCTATTTGCCACATGCATGAAATCATTTCACCGCCTGTGGATCCACTTGCATGAGTGCAGTGAGTCAGGTTAACCTCTTGGGCATGGATTTCATTTTATTTTTAATGGAAAAGTCTGAGATATTATGTACGTATTGTGGCCTGGATATTAGCACAGCTGATGTATCCTTCTTTTTGTTCAGGCCGCTGCGTGGGATACTTCTGGATTTCTTGCAGCAGTGCCCCTATCTTACTTTCCCGATTCTCAGTGTTTTTTGCCGTCTTACTGCTGTATTTCAAGCAGCAGTAATGGCAAGCAATGAGCTCAGTTATGTTTTTAAGGTCTGTAGTGAGTGAGATTCCTGCTGGGTAAGGATGGGTGGTTAGATTTTAAAATTCAATTGCTTATTTAATATTTGCTAATTCACATTTCTAACAAATCTTAGGGTGAGAATAGTTTTCAGGTTGGCAATTTTCAAGCAGTGGATTTGAATATGATTAAACCAAAATGAATTCCCAGCAAGATGCTAAGGATTTTCTGAGTTTGGGCATACTGCGGAATTACTAACAAAAGGAGATTCTTCTGTACCCAAAGCTATCTTAATGAAAAGGATGGAACTCTGAATATATAACATTTTTCAGCTAGCATTTATAGAACAGGTATATTCATACTAAATATATTTTCTGGAGGTTTGAATCAAGTGATTTAGTTCTTTAGGCATAAAATCTGTCAAGAGGAAAAATCGTTTTAAATTATTAATAGAGATGAAACATATAAATAAAAAATATATTATAGAAGCACTGAGACCCAAAGGCAGAAGTCATCCTCTGTTACGTGCCCTGTAAAGCAATGAGATCTGTGGTGCTGAGGCTCCTGGTTCTGCATCTATAGTTGCTACGTCAGGAAGGTATTTTGTGGGAATTTTATGTCATGCCCAAATTCTCAGAGGCTATTTTTCTAATTTTTAGAGCTACCAACTGTCTTTCTCTATGGAATGAAAGGTGCTCTTAGGCACTGGAGTGGGGCCAGGTTCAGTTTCTTATTTATTCACCTGCTTGCAGACTTGTGAGGAGGATGGTGAATTATGCTGTCTTTGCCATCTGCACATGTGTATTTTTAATGCCTCTGTGTACACACCAGGAAATAATTAGGTCCAAGATTGTTATTGAAAAGCCTATAACATTTTCCTCTCTCTGTCTTTTTTTCTCAGTCTTCCTGATGCCAACTGAGTTAATGTCTAAGGATGCAAATGGGAAAATCTGATCTCAGTGTTCTTTTCTCTCTCATTCTGTGACTCTTTAATTAAATTTACAGTTAATTA